GCAAATGTCAGGAAACGAAGAATCAACTTAACTAAAAATCACAGATCACCATAAAAAAAGTGAATAAAAATGATGAAAAATGTGTAGATACACATCCATATGAACATTGATGAGAGACTTTTAGACTTACTTTGCCCCTTCATTTTCTGATTCCTGCCTGGCCTATGCCGCTTTCAGCTTCACTGTTTGTGTGTGTAGCTACGCTTTCATGTTTGTCGATAGCTGGACCGCTTGAAACACGTATTTCTGGCTTGCTTCCAATTAATTCAATTTCCCGCCGGCCATATGTTCCCTGTCCGCCAGTCACGAGTTTCGCTTCTGTACCGTCCGGAGAGTTGGACGAGTTAGGCGTCTGTAGCCACCGAGTCCCCGCATGCCTACAAGACTGTCGCTTAGCGACTCTGCTCTTTGTGTCCTCTAAGACCGAGCCAAATCGGCCCTCGAGACGGCAGTCGACTCGTGTCGAGTGTTAGTGTGCCACGACAAACGGACCTTTGGTTGCCACCGAATCCTCCGGTTGAGGCTGTTCTCGAAGCGGCCACTTTTGCTTGCGGTGACGGTGTGTCGAAGGGTGGAGATGAGCGGATGCCTTTTCGTGATGTACCACTTTGACGAGGATGTCATGCCGAAGGTTGAAAGGCAACCCAACGACAGGAGAGCAAGCGGAATCTTGCCTCGTCTCCCAGTGACACCGACTTCCGCCACACCGCGCAATGCCTCGAGCCGCTCACATTTACAGCCACATTTATACCCGCCTACTACTCGGTTCCGATCAGTAGTGGGTGAGCTTTTGACTGCAAAAATGCCTGTTTCAAGTGCCCTGGCATTCCTGGGGCCATGAAGGACGATTAAATTCGAAGAATCTCTTAATACATTCATTTTGAAGTAGATTTCATTTCATTTAAAGAGGCCGGTGCAAAACATTGGGAAGTTGGTTCCACCGGAGGCTGTGGTTGTCGATTTGTGCCAATAGGTCTTCGGCGCACCACCCTGCCACCCTGCCACCCCGATGACTCCTTGCTGACCTTTCGTTCGTCATGTCACGGACATTGTCAGAGCAGGACAACATTCGTGACGATAACTCACCCAAAACACGAGGGCAAGAAAGGTGGCCTACTTGCTTCTTATGTTCCAATTTGGTCCATTTGATGAGGCAGCTCATGTTTGGGTTGGAAATGGGTGCAATTGAAAGCGAGCAGCCTTTGATCCTGACAGGTTAACGCATGTGATTGCGTCCCGTTGCAGGAATGTTGTGTGAATGCATTGTTCTTGAAATGGATGTGCCAAAACATGGTTTGAGTCTAATAAAAACTCCTCCTCTTTCTCAGTGGTACTTTTCGTTCCTCCTTCTCTTTCTCTAATACTATCGAAGATTTCCTCGGAAACAGCATCAAAAAGAATATTCCATTAAAGCCAATCGGCGACTGGTCAAGAGGGATCCTCGCTGTCTTCGAGTTGGATCAATCTTCTAATCGTTTCACTAAACACTTTCACTCGAAG